ACCATGTGATAACTCGTATGTCGCTAGACGTTCATTAATAACGAAGCTAAGGTGTAGTGTGTTGGTAGTTGCTTTGTTTGTTTTTTCTATCTTAATATAATCTTTATCATCTCCCCTTTCATTTAACGCATCACACGCTCCAATCGGATCAATCCACCCACGAAATAAAATGTTTGTCAAAAACTAATTACATACTATTAATTGAATTAAAAATATTTGCGGCCACTTTTTGTTTGGCTACCTATTATCAATGTGTTCTCTAGTTTTAAATGTATGTAAAAATGTGAGTTTGATGAACTACTTTATGAACGTAGTGATCCTGCAGTGGGATCTTGTACTATTATATTATATATTATTATAACAATAAAACATTGAAAACTTTGTTTTAAAAACTTCCACAAAATTTATTATAAATATCTTGTCATTGTTCTGAAGCTATTTTCTTGTGGCATTGTAAATCAATTACTATTTATAACAGAATAAACCACAATTAAAGATAAAAATACGTTTATTGACGTTTCAATGTCGAATTCGGAAATCGTTCTCAAAATACAAACAGTAAATTAAACAAATTTTGTTTTTTATTACATAGTGAAAAAATTCTTCTAATAATTTAATTTTATCTGACTCATTTATATTGACAATTCAGACATACATTACGCATTTTAAAGTAGACGACTTTAAAATGATATTGCCAATATTGTTGAGTTGCGCTCCTGGGACGACTTTACTTATAAGATAGTTCATTCGATTACATGAAATCAACTTTAACTTGAGAATATCCGTCAGAAAAAATCATAGCATGTAATTCGTCTTTAAAAAGACAAACATATGACATGATGACAGTAAAATTCTCCTGTTAGTGATTCCATAGTAAATTATGAGGGAAAAAAACCAGGAAAAAAACCTCATAATACTATCCCGACATTGTAAGTATTTGTTCGTGAATTTAGTTTACCTTCAACAAACATCAAAATTCTGATTTTATATGTTACGTTATTTAAAAAACATAAATGATGTATCCTCTATATGTTACTGACTTACTAATACTGGTATTTTCTAATTAATGACTTCCTCTTTCAATATTGGTAACCAGATCCTACTACATTCTGCCGAGGAATTTGCGACACAATATAAAATCAGAATTTTGATGTTTGTTGAAGGTAAACTAAATTCATGAACAAATACTTACAATGTCGGGATAGTATTATGAAGTTTTTTTCCTGGTTTTTCCCTCATAATTTACTATGGAATCACTAACAGGAGAATTTTACTGTCATCATGTCATGTATTTGTCTTTTTAAAGACGAATTACATGCTATGATTTTTTTCTGACGGATATTCTCAAGTTAAAGTTGATTTCATGTAATCGAATGAACTATCTTATAAGTAAAGTCGTTCCAGGAGCGCAACTCAACAATATTGGCAATATCATTTTAAAGTCGTCTACTTTAAAATGCATAATGTATGTCTGAATTGTCAATATAAATGAGTCAGATAAAATTAAATTATTAGAAGAATTTTTTCACTATGTAACAAAAAACAAAATTTGTTTAATTTTCTGTTTGTATTTTGAGAACGATTTCCGAATTGGAAATTGAAACGTCAATAAACTTATTTTTATCTTTAATTGTGGTTTATTCCCAGTTATAAATAGTAATTAATATCTTATCACTACAGCTGTTTCGGCAGAGTACCTTTCTCAATTGATCTTTGATTGAAAAAGATCAAAAACAGGAAAAACTGTTTGTCTCAAGTTGGACATTCAGAATTATATCTGTAATTCAATTTGTTAATTTCCATAGATTCTAATAAAGATAGCTTACGGCCTTTATTTTGGATGTGAAGAATTTGAAATTCGTCATTAAAAGAACGATTATGATCTAGAAGGTGAAGTGCGAATGTAGAATCTGTTTTTCTATTATTGAAATTTGATTTTTTTTTTCTGCCGCTTGTACGTGTATGCCGTGCGCTGCGCACTGTTCTAACAAACCGTAGCTTAACCAATCTGTCGTTCTCCTGGCGTAATTGCATGTTGCTGGGTCGGGCCAAAATATGATTTCATAATTGAGGTGATGAGTATTTATAAATTGGACAAGCTTTGTAAGACACCTGTCAACGTAATTGTCAGAATTGAGAGCTTCACCGTGAACACGTCTAACAAATGGCTGTGAAACACCAGCTTCTGAGGTGGCACACCATACCAAAATTTTATCAGCAAATTTCACTTTTCTCTTAAACCTAACTTCGTCCGGTGCATCTTGTACATTGCGTGTATAAAATCCGTAGTTGCCCTTCATTTCGAAATTGGATTAAGTAAAATACTTTTTATCATCAATAATGAGAATTTTACCAGGAAAATGAATACGTCTCAATGTACGGCAACATCTAGGAATTTTTTCTAACTGGGCTGGTGTGTACTTAAAAGCTTTTTCTCTTTTATATCGTTTTAAATTATTTCTAGAAATTGTTCTACTTACAGTCATTCGTGAAACATTATATCTTCGCGCAAAGACTTTCCTAATTGGTTCTTCATACTCTGAATTAATCTCTGTTCCGAGCAGGACTTTAAGACTCTTGGTCTTCCACTTTTGAAAAAATTAAAACATGGATAACCTTAAACAATATAAACAATGACAGTTTTGACAAATACGGTTCGTAACTTTGGTTTCCAATGGCAACTTGATCCAATGCTTCCTACCAATATTACTTTTAAATCTAAAATTTTCCGAAAACTTTAGGGATATAAGGAATTCTACAAAAATTCGCACCTTAACTGGAGCCAAATATGGTGATATTGCAATTTGCTGCCCGTACCCCGCAGTAACAAATTTTTTCTGTAGGTTGATACCAAAAAACATGTTGTCAGGTGCAAGCCTCAAAAAAAAGGGCAAATTTAAGTTTTTTTTACAACAAAAAACTTATTTGTTCGCTAAAGCTATGTCATTCTTCTAGCGATCTGCCTCGAAAAACGAGTGAAAGAGACTTCTATACTTGGAGCACACGTACATATCAAATACCAATCGCTTCGTCTTGGTCTCCAGAAGGAACTCTGACCCTTTGAAGAGTCAAGAAACACCTGCTCAAAGCGTGGCAAGCGGTTATTCAGTTACTAAAATCGACGTTTTTTTTTTTGCTATTTTATCCGAAAATAGATTAAAAGGGACCTGTATAGTTGGAGCAAACGTAAATATCAGGTACCAATTGCTTCGTCTTGGTCCCCAGAAGGAACTCTGACCCTTTGAAGAACCAAGAAAATCAAGTTAAAATGACTTTCATTCGACAACTGAGTTTTCCAAAGGCGATTGGATCGTAGTAATTTATGATCAATGGTACGCAGGGGTAGTTGAAGAGGTAAACAACGAACATCTTGTAACAAAATTTCTCTCAACAAAAAATGGCTTTTGTTTTTTGAATCGACCAGAGCATACACAAAACGTTTTATCAACTCAAGTTTTATGTAAAATAGAATCGCCAGAACTAACTAAATTTAGATATAAAATAATGTACAATATCAGTGAAAACCAGAAAAAAATTATTGAAAATATTGTAAAAAGTAATATAATTATATGATATATTTGGTATAATTTATATAATTATTATAATTTCTTTTTGAATCTAAAGCAGTATTAAAATTTTGTTTATTTTTAATTATTCGAGCTTTAATATTTATTGTTTCTGTTAAACACAAGAATTTTAATTTATTATATGCCAAGTTTTTTTATATTGTTTAATTAATGAAGAATAAATATATTTATGCCATTGTTAAATAGTATCTATCAATAATAAAAAATTTAGAATATTTTTGATGTATTTTATTCCATGTATTTATTTTTTTTTACTTGACTAACTTTTCTCTCGTTCTAATACTCATGCCAACAAAAAAAAGTTTGTTATAAAAAAAAAAGAAAAAAATTGAATCGTATTTTCTTACTTAAAACACGGTAAATTAATATGTGAAAGTTTTCAGCTATACTACAATTTACTATCTATAATTTGATGACGGATCAGGCTACATACTGAGGATCAAGTCACCAGCTTCCGATAGGTAGATGAACCTCACTTACGGAAGTCATTTTAACTTGATTTTCCGGAAAAATCGCGAAAAAATGAAAAAAACGTCGATTTTAGGGACTGAATAACCGCTTGCCACGCTTTGAGCAGGTATTTCTTGGTTCTTCAAAGGGTCAGAATTCATTCTGGGGATCAAGACGAAGCAGCGATTGGTACCTAATATGTATGTGTGCTCCAACTATAGAGGTATCTTTTAATCTATTTTCGGGTAAAATCGCGAAAAAATGAAAAAACGTCGATTTTAGGGACTGAATAACCGCTTACCAAGCTTTGAGCAGGTGTTTCTTGGCTCTTCGAAGGGCCAGAGTTCCTTCTGGAGACCAAGACGAAGCGATTGGTACCTGATATGTACGTGTGCTCCAAGTATAGAAGTCTCTTTCACTCGTTTTTCGAGGCAGATCGCTAGAAGAATGAAATATATTTAGCGAACAAATCAGTTTTTTGTTGGAAAAAACTTAAATTTGCCTTTTTTTTAGGCTCGCACCTGAAAACATGTTTTTTGGTATCAACCTACAGAAAAAATTTTTACTGCGGGGTACGGGCAGCAAATTGCAATATCACCATATTTGGTTCCAGTTAAGGTGCGAATTTTTGTAGAGTTCCTCATATACGTTATGATAATAATAAGTGAAATACGACGCACAATAAATATTTTTTATGTTTTTGTGATTTAATTTTAGATTATAAAAAGTTATCTTTAATAAATTAGTGGCTTAATATTCTTAATTTAATTAATAATTAAATTAAAAAATTTATGGTTCATATAATACCAAGAATTTACACAACAAACTTCCTATTATCCATATGTCTACACAATGTAAAAAAATAGACTTGACCCAAATTAATTTAGAATAATAATCTTGTCACTTAACACTTATGCCAATGTGTACATTTAACTATTTATAAAATTAAATACATACTTTCAGGTCTGTGCACTCAGCTCGCGGGAAGCGGTGTATGTTGATGATAATTTAGGAAAACCGTTGGCTCATACGAGGTCCAAAGTGGGCCTAAGCTACGACGATATGCTTAACGATGATTTTACCTTCGATATGGATTCGCACGACGTCGTCGTGTTTCTCCATATGCAGAAAACAGGTAAGGTTATTTATCACAAAGAATATTTTTCTTTTCTGAACTAAAAAAATTAACGCTTCTCAGGCGTTAGAAGAGACGAAAATTCGTCAGAGAACGATCGTGGTTCTCATCTTCTTTGAAATCGTCAAAAACATACGTAAAATATTATTCAAAATTTAAACCCAAAGTTAATAAGGATCATCAGTCGGATGTTATTTATAAAATAAATTGTAACAACTGCAATTCAACATATATTGGGCAAACACGCCAATATCTTCGTAGAAGGGTTGTTGCACACAAACATAGTGTACAAACCAACAAATTAAACGCTACAGCCTTAGCCAAGCATTCTCTAGAAAATAGCTATTGTTTTGATCTTGAAAATGTACAGATTTTGTAAAAAGAACAAAACTTCAACAAAATATGCATATTGAAGATTTTGTTTTGACGACGTTTCGGCAAGATCTCACTTGCCATTGTCAAGTCAGATTAGTTCTGCTTCTTTCTGATGTTCGAGGGGAATAGATTTCTAAGTCGCTGAACGCTGTGTTCAATTCCGTTTTAACGCTTCTTATGAATGGTCCTGTACGTAAAGTGGGCGGGGTCAGTTCGTTATTATAAAAAAAAAAACAAAGCAAAACTAGTTTTAAATTTATGGATGGTATAAATGTCAAAAAAATAAGTCGTTTTAACTGACAAGTACCACGTGTTAAAAATCGAGCACGGAGACATGTAGTCCCTAAAGTAATTAAAAATGTATCCATTGTCATCGACCTAGAGTCACAACATAATCAAAATGTAACATTTGGAATGATGTAAATCCATATATGGAGGTCTCACAGATAACTTTATTGTTAGCTACAATTATACAAGGCACTGAGGATGATCTGTTCGGATCGAAAACGTTATGCTATTACTTAAATTTTGACGACACTTTTTATACAGTTTTAACTATTTGTTTTTTATATCACAATACAAGTGTGCAGTGTTTTAGCTTCTGTGTTTTTTAAACGATGGTATACAGCCAACTACGGGGTTTTTCCCATTAATTTTATAGTAATTACTCTATTTCTGATTCGACCTTTAGTAGCCTTTCTACCAAATTTTAAAAAAATATACGCTAATTTTGAAACATTCTATGTAGAAAATAATTATCCTAAGAGTTTCTCTACCATTGTATTGTTATGCTTTTATTAAATCCGTTTGTTATAAAATCGAGATGTAGACTCAACAAAAGAATTTAATTACCGGATAGAGCATTTCAGTCACGTACATAACAAAGAATTTATTCTACTCACTATAATAAGAAGTCAATACTCTTGATATCTGAATTTTAATGATTAAAACAATTATGTATGAGGAACTTTTTTAAATAAATACAAATGGGTGATTGTTTTGCAATATTTATTACTTAATAATCGGCAGATGGTAGATATGCTACGGTTGTTTAATAAAATCACGTATAGTATGTTCTATCCATCGAAGCTGTGCTAATTTAATACATTTTACAACGTCAGATTCCCTAAAACTTCTGTATAGCTCAAAGTTGTAACGCCTACGCCACAAACCCTGTTCTTGGACACCTCCATATATTTTCCTCAGAATTTTTCTGTCGAAACGTTTAAGCAATTCTTAGGCGAGATGAAGATGCAAAGAAGAAAAATCATCGAGGAGAGTTGCCAGAGACAGGGGCAAATGGAAGATTGTTCTGAAGAAGGCTTTGGCTTATAACGAGCTGTAATGCCACCGATAATGATGACAAGTATAGTATTTAAACTATTTTTCATTCGACTGATTCAAAAGAAGTTATCAATAATATTAAGACATCAGTCCCATCAAGTCGGGACTGTAAAGGACGGTTTTCTAGGACATTTTGTAGAATATACGCCTAAAAAATCGTTACGGGCGGACTGTAATACAATTATCAGTTGTCAACTATTTTGGTCAAAACTTTTTTGAAAAATCACGCAGATCGGACGGGATCAATTTATTAAATAGATATCTCTTCATATTTGAACACATACACTTTTTTGCTCTGTTTATGCCCTATAAATGACGAAATATTTCTGTGGCTATTTGCCAAAACTTTATATGTCAAAAATCATGGTTTTCAGCTTTGCGAACCATGATATGTGTTTAAAGTTATATTTTTATTTGCCAAAACTTGATATGTCTTACGACAATGTTATTAAAGGTAATGTTAAAGACTAAACATGACGTATTAAATTACCTCATTTTAATATTTGCCAAAAGTTGATAAGTTGACATATCAAGTTTTGTCATCATCAGATTTAAAATGTGGACGGATGTTTTATAGACATATCAAGTTTTGGTTACCAGCTGACGATAACAACACCTAATTTTATTGTTGTGCATTTTATTAAATTAAGGTGGTTCTTTGGTTGTCGGTTGTCTTAAGAAAACTATTAGTAAAAGTATGTCGCGTGGAAAGCTGTTAGTTGATATGGTTATTAGCCAACATGAAGGTTCGACGGTTTTAGTAAATATCGAAGAAACAGTATTACACACTGTAAGTAAGGGCTTTAAAAAATCAGTGGTAAGTGATATAAGAGGATTGAAAAGGTATTTAGTTGATGCCGAAATTAAAGAAATAAGTTCAACTTCTGGATCCACTGGCTATTCTGAAGAATTAGTGTCATATTTAAATAGTGATAATTCAGATGTAGATGAAGATTATATTCCTTCGGACACTTCATCTGACACAAGTGACAATGAGAGGCCAGGTAAATATCAAGCAATGCCATCTAAAAAGTGTCAAACAACTGCTACTTCCAGTAATAATACGGATGACATAGTAAGTAATGATACTTTTACAAATAAAAGTGACGATGGCAAAGACCAAATAAATAACTCTAATGTTCAACCTAAAAAAACCGAAATATAACAGAGTAGTAATGAAAGAACAGAAGATGTTAGGAGAAGAACATATTAGAAGAAATATTTAGAAGGTATACAAAAACCTGCAAAAGTATTTCAAGCGCTTACTAGTTGCTGTCGCAATAAATGTCACGAGAAACTCTCGATAGATGATCAAAAATAAATTTTTTATGATTTTCTTCAAAAAGTGCAAGACAAAGACCAAGTAATTTCTGAAAAAGTGAAGATTGAGTCAAAGAAGACAGAAAGAAAAGATAAAGGAGAACGAGGAAATAATAAAAACAGACAAATTGTGGTATACTATCTTCACATATAACAACAAAACGTTAAAAGTTTGCAAATACATGTTCCAGAATCTACATGGTATGACAAGAGGAAAAATTGATATTTTGATAAAAAAAAAAACAAATATCACCCACTGGTTTTATAGAGCCTAATGGATCTGGAAAACGCCAACCACATAACGCTCGACCAGACGAAAAAGCTGAAGCTATAAAACACATAGAGTCTTTACCAAAATATGAGAGCCACTACCCTCGAAGACACACAAGTCGACTCTATTTAGCTCCCAATCTAAATATTAAGCTTATGTATGATCTTTATGTATCAAACATAACAATACGCGTATCATATTCATTTTATGCCAAGATTTTTAAAAAACTTGGATATAAATTTAAAAATCCTAGTATCGATACATGTAAGACTTGTGATTATCTAGAAAACAAGAAAAAAATCCTCTAATAGTGAAGAAATACGTGCAGCCGTGGACGAAGAGGAAAATAAACACCTTCAAGTAGCAGAGATTGCCTATGGTGAAAAAAAAAGCAGATAGAGTTCTCCAGAAACAGTAGCGGTAAAATGGATGTTTTAGTATTTGACTTACAACAGAACCTACCAACACCCAATTTAAGCACAAATGTAGTCTACTTTAAAAGATTGCTCTGGACATATAACCTCACCATCATAAATTGCACTGAAAATACCACTTCATGTTTTATGTGGCGTGAGGGGTTGTTAGGTTGTTATAGGCTTGTAGGATGTCAAATCATTGAGAAATTTTTTTTAGTTTTAGGTTTTAGTATCGTGAAAATTTCCGCAACTTTCCATTGGTTAGTTAGTAAAAAAAAGGAATAATAATATATCAATACTCTATTGATTATAATCCACTAGGAAACTAAGTTCCTGTAGCTGGCTGTATACCATATACCACAAAAAGTTTTTATTTCAAATCCTTTATAAAAGGTATATAATACCTTTTATCATCATGATCAGCCCATAGTCGTCCACTGCTGAACATAGGCCTCCTCGAAAAACCTCCATTCAGATTTATCTTGCGCTGCTGCAATCCAGTTGGTACAAATCCTCTGTATGTCGTCACTTCATCTTGTGGGTGGTCTTCCCGGGTTTCGTCTATCCGCTCTCGATCTCCACTCCAAGATTTTTTTGGTCCACGTATTATCCTTCATTCTAGCGACGTGTCCTGCCCACCTCCATTTAATTTTGGCTATGTGTTTTATAATGTCTTCTACACCACTTTTTCTACGGATTTCTTCGTTTCTTACCCTATCTCGCAACGTTATGCGTAACAATGGTCTTTCCATTCTACGTTGCGTCACTTGTAGTTTTCGTGTAGATGTCCTTGTTAGGGTAAATGTCTCTGCACCATATGTAAGGACAGGCAGGACACACTGATTAAAGGCTCTTCATTTTAAGCTCATAGGTTTATATATCACCTTTAAAAATATTACGCAGTCTTCCATATGCTGCCCATCCCAGTGTTATTCTTCTTAGCCAGCTCAGCAGTTTGATTATCTCTGCTAATTTTTGCCGTATGTCCAAGGTATATGTAGCTGTCAACAATTTCAAATTCAATTTTCAAATTCAATTTCAAATTTGAAATAAAAATGTTTCTATTGATTATAGTTTTTTCTTTTGCCACGATGCAATGCTCGGTATAAAAAATATTGACTGGCATACTTGTTTTATCAAATACATTTTAGGTGGTACATCATTTGGAAAACACCTCGTCCACGATCTGGATTTGAAACGCCCGTGTACGTGTCCCATAAGTCGCAAGAGATGTTACTGTTTTCGACCTCATTCGAATCAAAGTTGGTTATTCAGCCGATACACGACAGGATGGAAATGCGGCCTACATGCCGATTGGACGGAATTGACGACTTGCGTCGATGAAAAATTAGACGAGCTTGAAGATGTAGTTAAGAGAAGATATTTTTATATAACGCTGCTGAGAGAACCAGTAGCCAGGTGAGTTTGGAAACGATATTTCTATACCCTTTTTTCTTCAAAGTCACAAGGAAACTTTGGTTTCGAAAGTACTATTTTTGAAGGTGTTCTTTTATCGTAGCAAAGTTTTTTATTATAAGTTGTTTTTCTATTGCGAAAAAACATACATACCTTATTTTATGAAAAACTCTGGTATTATGTGTAATTTTATCCTTTATCTAGAAACTTAGTTTATATTTGTATGTTATAGATACTTATCAGAATTCCGCCATGTGCAAAGAGGAGCAACCTGGAAAGGATCAAGACATTTTTGCAACGGACGGTTAGCCACTGATAAGGAAGTGCCTCCTTGTTATAAAGGAGAGGATTGGGAGGGCGTCAAATTAGACGACTTTATGAACTGTCAGAGCAATTTAGCCGTTAATAGACAGACTAGGATGTTGTCCGACTTGGAACTTATAGGTAAGATTGTTTTATTTTTATATTTACCTTCACTTTAGTATATACACGGTGTCCCAACAAAAATTTGTACCTCCTCCACCCAACACAATAAATATTTTGACAAAAATACAAAAACTGGTCGATTTTTATATCAGGGGGCTCATGTTTTATGCAAAGCTTATTTTTCCTTTAAATATGCACTGGGGATTGCAATATGCTACAAATTTTTAGACGAGGTGAGGAATCAAATGACCTATAAATTGTAAAAAACGACGATAAACTCTTAGAGGATCAGATAGGTTCAGCAAGATGGTGCTGATCATCGCCTAATTATGCTGTTCAGGGTCGAGAGTTTTGGAATGAACGTTTTTCCGCACGGTGAATTGGTCGGGGAAGTGCAAGTGAATGGCCAGATAAGTGTCCAGGTTTTAGTCCTCTGGGATCATCAGAGGAAAACCCCCAAGAAAAAAATCCAATATTAATTTAACCGACTGTTTAAATTAATATTGGATTTTTTTCATGTGAAACTAGGAAAATGAGATACCTAGCTAATTTTATTTCCAGGATAGTCAACACTTGTTTTCGTAGGAATATCGGATGGGATGTTCAAAATGAATGCCACTCTATATAACATGAATAGTATTCAGGCATACGCTCCAACTTCCGAAAGCGCAGAGCAAGGAGAAATATTCTAACGAACAAAAGAAGCCCTCAAGAACACCAAAAACATGAAGCTAATGTCCTGTACGGAAATTTTAACGCTAAAATGGGCAAAGGAGTTGACGACACTGTAAGTCACTGTAAGGCTTTTCTAACACAAAAAGAGTTTCAAGAAGAAATTGAAAACCCGCCAAATATTTCTGATAATGAATCGGAGGAAGAATTGTATGCTGCCTCACAGTCTGATTATGTACCTGGTGACGATTCTGCCCCAGATACTGATGAAGTACCTGAGAATACTGATAACACGAAAAGATCTGAAGATAAGTCTGAAAGGAATGAATTGACTGCAGAATGGAATATACCAAATACAAACTTTTGTCCGAAAAAATAAATTAAAAAAACGGAAATATAAAATTAAACACGAAAAACAGATATGTACGAAATGATGATAGTGATTGGTTGTACTATAGTTATGTGATATAATAAAGTACCATCTATCTCACATAACTGGTCACATCACGAATCAATTTTGAATTCCCTCATAAAAAAGTTATTTCAAGAAATCGTTGTTTATTCCTGCTATCTAACTAAGTCCTACTATAATAATCCTGAAAGAAATTGTAATACATCAAAAATATACTACATCGATGAAGTGGTTTCTTGTTTGAAACAAACTTTTGTAAAGGCGAAGACTGAGAGTTCCCATCAGTCCATCGACGAATCAATGACTAAGTTCAAATGAAGATCTCCCCTGAAGCAGTATCTTCCTATGAAGCCAATAAAAAGAGGTATAAAAATGTGCAACGAAGTGATTTTTTGACAGGATATTGTTGAAACTCTGACCAACACCATACGGTCACTAGATGTGCGTCTATACTTTGATAGGTTTTTCACTTCGTTCAACCCACTAAACACCCTGGATTTTGCATTTTTAGGAACCTATATGGCCAATCGGGTAAACGTAGGGTAAATTTGAAAATAACCAAATGTTAAGAGGGGTGATATAGAGTTTCTAGTTTCATTCGAAGGAATTTAGCGACCAAATGGAAAGATACGAAAGACATAATGTTAATATCCAATTGTCACAGTGCAACTGTTGGAATTATCAACAGAAAGATGAAAACTGTAGAAAAAGCTGAGTTCACTTGTCTAGAAGCAATAATTTTATGGGAGGAGTAGATCTCACCGATCAAAACGTTAGCACATATGATATGATATGGACTGAAAATCTGCGAAATGGTGGACAAAAGTTTTTTATAGATTACTTAGAACTTTATAGATTACTATAGAAACTCTTGGATTATTTACAAGGATTTGCATAAAAGAAGTGTACAACAAAATAATACAAAATTTTCACTTTTGAATTTTCTGGTGCCACTAGCAGAACAGCTAATTTAATTTGGAATATCGAAATCAAATGTAAAAAATGACCAACTATGGAGACCATTTGCCACAACAAATACCCACTAGGAGAATGTGCTTTAGATGTTCACAAAATAAATCGGAAACTTGAACTACGACTATTTGTACAGCGTGTAATGTGTCTCTATGCAAAAATTGTTTCTTACCATATCATTCGTAAGAAGTAATGTTTTTTTTTGTGTAATATACTTTTTTTATTTTGAATATAAGTTTGTTTCTTTACTGATGGGATTTATTTTTCTCACCATTCAACACGAATGGGACATATATGACCCATGTCCTTTCTAAGGATACAAGGGCACGCAATAATGTAAAAAAAAATTAATCACTTTGTTAGGTCTCTACGTATCAACGAATATCATTAGTCATTTTTAACAGATTTATTTAGCTACAATGAAATGATTAATGAAATCGTTAACATTAATATCCTTCACAGCCATACCTTGTGCACCTTCTGCCACCATATATTAACACACTGAACCAGACTGTATAGTACTAGCAAGTAAAAAAAATTAACGAATTTTAACATTATTTTGTACACTTTTCTAGGTTGTTACAACAAAACGTATATGCCACAAGCCGAACGTGACAAAATCATGTTGGCCAGCGCTAAGAAAAACCTCCTCGCCATGGCCTTCTTCGGTCTAACGGAGTACCAGAAGATTTCCCAATATATCTTCGAAGAAACCTTCAATCTCAGATTCGCAATTCCATTCGAACAAAACAACGCGACGGTCTCCAGCTACACCCTAACAACTTTAACGTCAGATCAGTCCGAGAAGATTAAGAAGTTGAACAATCTGGACTTGGAGCTGTACAGTTTCGCTAAGAAAATTTTATTCGAGCGGTTCGAGAGGTTAAAAAGTCGCGATACGGACTTCAAGGGTCGGTTCAAGAATCTGGGAGTGTTGAACGTGAAGCAAGGGCCTACCGAATTCGATTGGGATAAACTGGAGGATCCTACGGATGCTCCTTAAGGCTAAGGGCAGCTCAAATAAAGTCTGATATTAGAAGTGCCATGTTTCCCCGTTTTTTCTATGAAAAATAATTGTAAGGGTTGTACAGTGTGAACCGAAGATGCATTTTGGTGAGTTAGACGTTACATGGGGTAGTCTTTTGTTTCTGAGTTTCGAAACGAATTTTTAACCAATATCAGCTTATTTTGTCTTCCCTACAATCTAAGTGTTCGTAATTTATTTATTACATTTTTACGTTTTGAGATTTAACCCAAAAATATATTTTTGCATGAGACTACCTCCACTGATAAGTGTTAGAAAGCGTGCATTATATCACAATACGATTTTAAATTAACGTTAAAGGCATTTTGTGTTAAATATAGCTTGTTTATTGTAAGAAGACATTGACGTTATTTCCCCAACACTTGATAATTTACAAGTGAAATTGATCTCTATGAAATTATCTTTGTAAACAAAGTAAAGAGGGGAAACTATTGTTAGTCATTGTTTCTGTCAGTTTTCGAAGTAAAATAATTTATGTAATTTCCTCTCAAAACAATTTTTATTAAAATCTATAAAATGCAGATAATGTTAGTTGTGACGTCATCGTCTATTTAAAATAAATACAGTATATATTTATGTACAGCATTTACCAAACTTCGTGAACCAACGACGTAAAACGAAATAAACAGCATTAAATGCTTGGCAAGATTTTGATGAGAAAAAATAGTGGCTCACTAGGTTTATAGTTTGCTGAAAGACTTAAATAAATTATATTTATATATGCAATATATTTATGAGATGTTAGAATAACAGTAAATAGCATGTTTTCCGTTAAATAAATACGTTAACTTCATACATGACGTAAAGAATACTTTATACTTTAAGGGATGTTAAACATGCCTTAAAACTGGAAATAATTTATACTGTTTCTACTGGTATACTCGGTTCGCTAATGCCAGTCCGAACTGTCTAGTGATTTTAGTAATTATGTTTTTACGAAGTTAGTTACATTTTGACAGACTAGAAGTGGCTGGAAATTATTATACAACCAAGTACACGTGCTCATAGCGCATTTCATTAGAGTATTTCGTCTACCTCTTTTGCAAACTTATACTATGAATTAGAAATTTCTAGCATGTATATAGAATGTAAGTTTCTATTATATATAAAAAATATGTTTTATAAAAAAGTTACAGTAATTTAGTTTATATCGTTAGGCTGCGCCAAATGTAGGCAACCAACTTAAACTTTTTGTTAGCATTTAGCTGGAGTTTCTTGAGAATATATTTAATATTTTCCAGTTAATTTATTATTATTTTTTAAAGTGATGATAATAATGCTGAATAAGCAATATTTCAAATAATATCTAATCACAGGACGTACTTAATATTGTGTTATAAAGTAGGTTAGATAAAAAAATATCATAATATTCAATTATAATTCAAAAATATCATTCATCAAAAATATCCAATATCATCAAAAATATAATTAAAACAAATCATAATCTTCTATTATTCCTATTAGAAACTAGTTTTGGACGGCCTGGGATTTTACCTTTTTTATCTAACGTATTTTATTATGAGGATTTTACAATAACACAATATTAAGTACGTTTTGTGATTAAATATCATTTGAAATATTCCTTATTCAGCATTATGATCATCACTTTTAAAAAATAATAAATTAACTGGAAAATAATAAACGTTTATTAAAAATATTCTCAAGAAACTCCAGCTAAATCCTAACAAAAAGTTTAAGTTGGTTGCCTACATTTGGAGCAACTTAACGATATAAACTAAATTACTGTAACTTTAATCACAGCTTTTATTTAATTATTGACGCCATGTCAAACTGAACTGGATGTTCACTGAAATGTTTTTGTTATTAAGAACATATTTACATAATTTTATAAATATATTTTAATGATCCACCTACGCCGAATGGGCAAATAATTAAATAAAAATGGTTGGTGTTTTGAATAAATCTTTGTGCAGTTTGATTACCTCGTAATTTAACAGCATCCTTACTCATCTAAAAATATTAACTTTTAAAGACCATTTATCATATTTATATTTATTTAAGAAAAACTTACCAACGCATTATCTGATAGAACAAATGGAAAACTTTGACTATCTCTAATAATAAAATTCAAAATAGAACTAACTAATTAACTAAATAGAACTAACAAAATAATTAAACAAAAATATTGGAACAATAATACTATATTAGCTAAAATAAACAACGCGAATAATACAAATATTTACTACAATATGTTCAATTGTAACAACTCAAATATTATATTTTAGATATACAGGGAAAATGTTATGGGTTTAGTATACACTTCCACTATTTGGAATAATTCTTCTTTTTTAAAGGAAGAAGTCTGCAATAATAGTATATTTGAGCTATTAATACTGAGAAGTAGGAATTTTTGTATTGTAGGTTTCCGACAATGAATCTGTCAAAATATGCCCGAGCTAAGCGAATGGAGAATAATTCCCGTATTGTTGTTTTCAACTTTCACACCTGTTTATTTTACGAAAATATGTCCAGACCGTCTGTACACTCTACATTCATTTTACAACTTTTAAGTTTGAAATTACCATTAAATGACATTTCTTATTGTCTTTTTAGTTCTTTTGTAAATTTTATATAAGACTATTTTTTATAAGAATTAACGTAAAGAGGTCGTCTAAAAAAGGTAAATGATGTAAGTTATTTATTATGTTTATAAGGGATTCAGCCACAATTGGTTGTAATGAAAATTACATTTTATATTTGTTATTTGACGTTTCAATTACCACTCCGGAAATCGTTTTCAGAAAAAAATATTTTAAAATAGTGATCTGGTATTATAAACGATAGTTGTTTAAAGGTTATGTTATGTTTTCAAATTGACAGGTGACTTAATTGGCCTCGATCTTGTAGGAAACCAGCCATACTTCTTGTTGAAAATTGTGATAGTGGTGTTTGTACCGTATAGATGGCATCGAATTCTGATTGGTTTGTATATGTTTGTATATGTATTATGTGTTTGTGTATTGTATGTTTATGTATTGTGTGTTGTATATGTATTACGTATAATTGTAAATGGTGTGTCTGACTTTCTATTAATCTGTTCTTCTTCTTTTGGTGCCTATTCTTTTCGAATATTGGCTACCATTCTAGCTATAATTATTTTATTAATTGATGCTATAAATGGATTAGTTGTTGTTGTGGGGAACAATTTCCTCAGGTTTTTTAACCATGATATTCTTCTTCTTCCAATTCCTCGCTTTCCCAATACTTTGCCTTGAAGGATTATTTTCAGTAATCTGTATTTATGCCGTTTCTCATTATACGTCCTAATATATCAGCAATATATCAACATTAATATGTTAATGTTTCTTTAATTCTGATGAATCTTTCCATTGTACTCTTTGTTCATTGTCCCAGACATGTTTGCATATCTGTAATTTGACGAAATCTCTGTTTTTGATGTATCTTTTATTATCTAGCATATTGGTGGAATTGCAATTTATTACTATATAAACTGAATAACATATTTTTGGGATTTTAATCTATTTGTTCTAGTTTTGGCAAGAAATTTTCCTAGTTTTGTATAAATGTTGTTGTGTTGTGTGCTAGAGGCTGTGACAGTTTGCTGCGAGGAGAACCCATGCTGTTACAAATTGGTCTGAGGGGTACACTTCCTTTCTGTAATTTTGGGACTTCGTATAGGTATGGTGTCCTACTGTAGTGGGATGTTAGTGTTTTTTTTTTTGGTAGTGTCAAGTGTTACTTAAATTTGTGTAGTATTTTATATATTCTGCTTTCTAAAGATTTGGTTTCGATTTTCTCTCGATATTGCCTTTTGTCTATATTTACAGTTGCGTTGGCCTTGTCAGCTAGTAATATCAATATATTGTCATATTCTTTAAGAGCTTTGATCGCTCCTTTTCTTTACTAAGGTTTGTTTTTGATTTTGGGCTTTTCGCCAGTTCCTTTTTGCGCAGTACTCCGTATTCTCCCTTTTCGTGTGTTGGTAGTCCTTGACATCATTTTTCAACTGCACTAATTATGTCTGTTTAGAATCTGATGAGTACGTTACAGCATAATTTAGATCTTTTGAGAGCATCTCACTTAATGAAGAACAAAAATGTGTAGCAACATCATTTAATAGAAAGACCTAGAGCTACATCATCTACAATTACGTAATACATATAACACACAATACATAAACATACTTTGATGTCATCCTGAGACTACAAACACGACTCAACTAGAAGCAGGGCTGTTTGCCTACAAGATCGAGGTCCAGTATGTCACCCGTTAGTTTGGAAAACATAACCCGCAAACAACTGTTGGATATAATCATTGACATTTGACAATGCGAGATAGACTGATTGCTGCAATGTAGTCGCGTTCCCCCAATGCGACAGAGAAAATTTATGCTACCGTTTTATGTAGGTTATTCTCTTGTTATTCTTAACATCTCATAGTATACGCATTTAAGACGTGTTATTAGTATTTTAAACATATATTTTTAATATCCGCTATCTTATCACCTTATAGGCTATTTGTGTCATCAAAAATGTCCAAAGAAGTGAATTTTTTATGTAACTGAACAGTGTTCAGTTACACAATTATTAAATATATATACAGAATATAGATGACTATATTCTGTAGCAAATAAACTCCAGTTATCAACACTAAAATAAACAATGAATCGCGACATTTTCATTGAGAAAATTAATTTTTAATAATCGTAGTGCGCCTTAAGAGCACACACTCTTAAGATGTCATAGAGTACATTTAAAATTGTCTTCAACTCATAGACACGCCTTCACAGTTTTCATAGAGTGCTATTTACGCACGCGCGCTACGGTCATTAAAAAGGTTTCAATTTTTTTAACAATTGTTTATTTTACCTAACCACTTATCAAGATACCATTATGATCTTGAAAGTTTTATTTTATTAGTTTGAGACTAATATCGTATTACGGCTTATCATTGAGCTATTCGCTCCATGCGTGACTGACGCGACACCTATTGCCTTCATCTGACAGTTTTGGACTCCCAATTTGAGGTTAAGTATATGTTAAATACATACGAAATTAACATTTATTGATAATTAGTTTTTTAATTATATGTTTTCAGTTTATGTACAAAATAAATATAGTATTAAAAACTGGGTTTCTAAAAATTCATCACAATTCATCTTTTCAACCAAAACGGCGAAGAAAGGAAAAAAATTAGTACTGGAAAATCAAGTTTTTCATGTGGAAGAGCATGTAATTATAAACAATAATAGTAAAAGTTATGATATAAAAACTAAAGTCGTCGGGCAGGCTGCAGTTCGCTTAAAGCCTTATGAAATATCATTAATTAAATTATTTAAATTTTTCCTATTTCAAGTGAATAAAAATGAAATTATGTGATATTTACTTTTTAATATTAATATCGCGAATCCATCTTTCTCTTTTCTCTATACGTAATCTTCGGAAACCTATAAAAACTACACTATTTTATCTACTATTAGCACAAAATTAAATACGTACCATATATTTGTACCCATTTTTGATACAATTTATGGGGTAAAAGGATAGGTCCAATTTTGTCATATTTCGCCGCTACGCACCGTGGCATCGTTTCAAAGTACCCCTACCATGGTCACGCACGGAGCGAATAGGAAACTTGCATTAATTTTTATTTAAATTTTTTCGAATATGCATACAATAATAGAAACTTTACGAATAATAGAATGATTTATTATGCTATAAATATACTTACGATTTTTACTTTTAAACGATAGTCGGCACGCTTATAGAGCAGTGACGCGTCGGATTCATATTACATTATAAAAAATTCATTTTAATAAATTTATGTCTATTTATATATCATCCAAAAAATAAATCGTTATATGTCTGTGTTATAAACTAACTTTCGATTTTATTAAAAGAATAATTTTTAATACACTCAGATGCAAAAAAAAGCAACGGAAAAAATTTTGGTCAAATTCAAAGTATTTCAGTTTTTTTTTAATTTTTAGCCTTATTTTGATTTTGATTGGTGTAAAAATTTATAAATTTTAATTTAGTATAGTGAGTTT